AGCACTGTTTTGAAGTTACTTGGACTGTCTCATCTCTCAGAGTTAGCATGGTAGCAAGAACTGGTCCTTACACTGTCTTGTATGCATAGAAAACAAAAGTGTTTGTGTGTGGCTTCACACACAAAAGCACAAAAGTGGAACAAAAGCACCTTTGTGTTCATCCCTAGATGGTCGGTAACTGCATCGTGCTGCTGACTGACAACAACGTACACACAGAGTTCTGTGACAGTATTACAATTAGCCTACTCCAGCTTTTAGGCTTGGCTGCAGAGGGAATATTGATCCTGTAGCCCAGGGGGAGATCTGGTGATGAATTTCACAGGGTTATCTGATTGATTACTGCTCTCAGTATCACTGACCTCTGTAAGCAGCAAAGCTTCTATTAGCCAAATGGAAGAAAAGGTATTGACAGATGATACCACTAACGTCCCCTGGAGGGCATTCTTCACTGTGATTGTGGGTACAAGCAGACTTGCAAGATGCTGCCTTGGGCAGAAAACATTCAAATTAATACCAAGTTTTTCATGTGACATTGACACACCTGTCAAATAAACATAACATGATTCAAAATCATCATATGTGCATTGAGCTACTGAAGAGTAAATTGTTCATGTTTGTCAAAAGGAAATTCTGGTATTAGTGTGGTCACGGGGTGTGTTGCCAGGTTGGCTTATTATAAACAACTTTAGGCTTGGTTTTTTGTAAAGTTGCTTACAAATTTTGGTAGTCACTGGCTGTGATTTTTTGGGTTTATTTATTTGGGTTTGCTCTATACACTAGTACCTGTCTAATAAAGTGAAATTGCCTAGTTTGTCCTGTTGCAGGATCCATCCACGATCCCATTCTTTCTACCTCTCCCCTTCCCCATATAAATCAAAACAAAATCACAAGATTGATCATCCATTAATGTAAATAATGGATGGAGATTCTTTAGCTAGTTTGCTAAAAATGCAGGGGCTAAGTGTGTTAAATACAGAAAACATGTACAGTAACAAAGTATGAGAGAGTGGATTGTTGAAAGACTAAATTTTACATACATACACACACACTATGGTGTAAGGTCACTTCTTTTGGGCCTTTTTTTCTTGCAGCACTGGTCACTGGTGAAAAATAATGAAGTGACAAGTGGTGACGTACAAAGACATCTAGGCTGTGTCTCAAAACCACTCCTTCATTCATTGATTCACTGCCCCTATGTATTCTAATGTACACTCCATAGTTCACTCAGTTTTTCATCTGGCCATTGCAGTGTGGAACTGTTACTTTTTACGCTCCATTGTGGAATTTTTGAGTGCACGAAATAGTAGATTGATTTGCTCAGTACACCACTACAAAATGATGAACAGTGTTTGGAGAGTGGTGAAATACATGTAATTAAACTAGCAGTTTAATCACATTTTGCAGTACTGTAGCTTGCTGGTAGTTCACCTACATTCACATTTGTGTAGTGACTGAAGTAGTTAAATTAAATTTTTGCAATTTTTTGTGTAGTTAAATAATGCAACTACAAATATTTTTGGACCATAAACAGAAATGAATCATTTTTTATTTTTATTTTACCATGGCTAACCCCAACCACTACCTGGATAAGAACTTTGAGAGACTGCTCACGTGTCATATAAACAGGAGATTTTGCTGTGAGAAGTGGTAGTAAAAAAATGGGCCCATTTACACAAGTGTTCAACCTGTTTATATTGTCTAAAAGGTCTAAGTTCAAGATTGTTTTTGTTAGGTTTGTACAAGTCAGATGTTGATAAACTGACAAGTAACACAACGGACCTGTATGTTTTAGACCAGCACTAAAGTCAGTCCAACAGTCAGTCCAATATATGTATGTGTGTGTGTGTATGTATGTATGTGTATATGTGTATATACATATATGTGTGTGTGTATATATATATATATATATACATATGTGTGTGTGTGTGTGTGTGTGTGTGTGTGTGTATATATATGTATATATATGTGTATGTATGTATGTGTATATACTTATATGTGTATGTGTGTGTGTGTATATACATATATATGTGTGTGTGTGTGTGTGTGTGTGTGTGTGTGTGTGTGTGTGTATGTGTGTGTGTATGTGT